GTATGTGGTCTTTGAAATAGTCCATTTTTATTTCAAGTTTGTTTATAGTGTTGTTCATGGTTAATTATTTTATACACTAATGTTTCATTATACTGTGTTCTGCTGTTACAAATTTTATTGTGAAACCAATCTGTAGAGTGTTCAACATTATTAAACACATTCATCAGACAGATTTTTTTTTTTCCCCTTTCGGCTGCTCCTTTCTTCAGGGGTCGCCACAGTGAACTAAGTCGCACGAAGACCTGGTAGTTATTTTTACGCCGGATGCCATTCCTGATGCAACCACAGACACCGAGCTGCCACAGCCCTCTGTGTGGAGCAGAGAGCTGCTATCTAGGACACCCGGAGGAGCAGATGCTGGGGGTTAAGGGCCTTTCTCAAGGGCCCAGAGTGGGATGAATGAGGGTGGGGGTGCTTCACCTACCCCACCCACTTTTTTTTTTTAATGTTGTCGGTACCGGGGCTTGAACCGGCGATCTTCCGATCACCGGCCCGCCTTCTCTAACCTCTGCGCCACCACTCCCCCATTCATCAGACAGAAAATGGCTATTAATTTTAAATAGGTATACATACATGATGTTTAAGTTGTGCCCGTAATAAATCTCACACTGTTAGGACAGCGAGTGGTTCTATGCACCACACAAAGTGCCCTTTTTTTCTACTTGAGCATCTGCCCCCCAAAATGTCTGTGCACGCCACTGATGTTCGCTGTGTGGAAGTATTTTACACTAGAAGCACCACAAAGCAAGACAGCAATGTGCAATGTCTGCAGAACCATAGCACCACATTAAACCACGGTAAAGTTAGTTTTATGTTGGACATTGGAGCTCCGTGGCTTCAGCGTGGAGCTACTCTCGCTCAACCCGAAGCAGACAGCCTGACCCCGGCCAGCTGCGTCCAATCTGCCCTGCTCAGTCTGCCCGCCTCTGAGGAGGGGCAGACTGATGCTGGAGCACAGGATGCTCTCCACTGTACACCTGTAGAAGGAGGTGAGGACTGAGCTTCCAAGACCAGCTCGTCTCAGCCGCCTGAGGAAGTAGTCTTTGATGAGCTTTCTTGATCAGGCTGGAAGCTTTGTTGCCCCGGCTGAGTTGTTATTCAGGTGCACACCTAAGTACTTGTAGCTGAAGACCACTTCCACTGCAGATCCTCCTTTGTTCAGTGGGGGTGTTTGTTCCTTCTGAAGTCCACAACGATCTCCTTCATATTGATGTGAAGGTTGTTCTTCCTGCACCAGCTCTTCAGGTGTTCCACCTCCTGCCTGTAGCTGGACTCATCGTTGTTTGTGATGCATCCCACCACCACTGTATCATCTGCAAACTTTACAATGTGACAGCCTTTTATACAGACCCTTGCCAAAATATTAGAATAGCTTGGAAAAGTTGTTTAACTTCCATAATTCCATTCAAAAGAAGTTAATCTTAAATAGATGATAGATTCAGGGCCCACAATTTAAACAATTTCAAGTATTTATTTGTTTATTTTCACATAATTTGGGCTTCCAACTCATGAAACCAACAAAAACAAGATAAAAAAAAATTAGAATACTGTGGAGAAATCAGCCCAAATGTTGCAGGGCATGAATGTTTTAAACAGTGCGACACTAATCATCCACTAAACTCAAAGCACCTGCACAGGTTTCCCCAGGTGTCATTAAATTCCTTCAGTTTGGTTCAGTATGGGGAAGACTGCAGACATAACTGGCTAGAAGACCATCACTGATACCCTCCATAGGATGGGTAAGCCACAAAAGTTCATAACTAAGGAGGCTGGCTGTTCACAGAGTGCTGTGTCCAAGCATAACAATGGAAAGTCTAGTGGAAGGGCAAAATGTGGCAGGAGAAGATGCACCAGCAAGAGATGACCATGGGCTTCAGCAGATTATCAAACAGAGAAGATTCCAGAATCTGTCAGAGATCCAGGAAGAGTGGAATGAGGCGGGAGTCACAGCTTCAAAAACCACCACATTCAGACGCATCCGGGAGATGGGCTGCAACTGTCTGGTTCCTAGGTCCTTTTTTCTGATGAAAGTAAATTGTGCCTTTCATTCGAAAATCAAGGTCCAAGGGTTTGGAGGAAGAAGGGTGAGGAACAGAACCCATACTGCTTGAGCTCCAGTGTGAAATATCCATAGTCAGTCATGATTTGGGGTGCAATGTCCGGTGCAGGTGTTTGTAAACTCTGCTTTCTTAAATCCAAGGTCACCGCAACAGTCTACCAGAATGTTTTAGAGGACTTCATGATTCCTTCTGCCGAGGATCTGTATGGAGATGCAGATTTTATCTTCCAGCAGGACCTGGCCCCTGTCCATGCTGCCAGAAGCACCAAAACCTGGTTTGATGCCACAGTGCTTGACTGGCCAGACAATTCACTGGACCTAAACTCCATCTATGGGGTATTCTCAAGAGGAAAATGAGGGGCACCAGACCCAACAACAAAGAGCTGACAGCAAGCATCAAGGAAATCTGGGCTTCCATAACTCCCAGTCAATGCCACCGACTGATTGCCTCAATGCCACATTGCATAGAGGCAGTGATTAAGGCAAAGGTGTTCCCAACCAAGTATTGAAGACTGACATATTGTTTTGACAGAACCATATTTTGATTTTGTTGTGATCCTAATTTTTTTCTACAAAAACTGAGAAGTAATGTGGGCTGATGTCTTCACAGTATTCTAATCTTTTGAAATCCTGTTTTTGTGGGTTTCATGAACTGGAAGCCCAAATTATGTAAAAATAAACAAATACTTGAAATCATTTAAATTGTGTGCCCTGAATCTTTCATCTATTAAATATTAACTTTTTGAATGTAGTTATGGAATTTAAACAATTTTTTCATGATATTCTAATTTTTTGGAAAGGGTCTGTATATGAATGTTTCTGTTCAGTGCCCTGAGATGACTTCTGTTGTGACTTGGTGCTATATAAATCAACTGAAATGTACTTTCATTAAGAACACAGCAGTCTGCGGTCTTAACGTCACCGTTTTGTCTTAAAATATCTCCAAACTACTGTACTTATGTTGAAGTGGAATAGAAAATGACCTCATAAAACAGAATTGTAATCGGTTCAAAGTATGGGTTGTTTTTACAAGTATTTGAGGCTGGTAGATCCGATACTGATGCCACGCCAGTATTAATATCGGGGCACTACTACCCTTTTGTGGGGTCAGTCAAGATCTTGAGTCATGAAGTTAGGCGCCTGGTTTGGGAACCTCCAGGTTTCAAATGTACTTTGGAAGTTGCTGTTTTTTTTAAGACAAAAGAAAATGATAAATTGAACAAGACGTGATGGACCATATAGGAAAGGACCCCACAACATTTTTATTTGTACATCAGACCATCTGAGGTACATTTTGCACCACAGACAAATATACAACACACAGTATTACAGATAGCTTGTTACATAAACCTAAATATAACCAGGTTTTGTAATAAATATTTTTACTGTTGGAAGACAAACACTGAAGTCATGCATTAATTTGAGACCATATGCAAAAACTATATATACATACAGATAACGGTGGAGAAACGGGTTCCCAACATTCAATATGTTTTGATCAAAAGTACAATAGCAAAATTAAGTTTAAAATAATAATAAAATAAAATAAGTTTAATTTGCTGGTCAATAAAGACCAGACAGGAGCCAATGAGAATACTGTATACTGTAGCAGCAATTAGGCCTGTCACATTAACAAATGTTGCTGGGCGATTAATTTCCTCAGAAATTATTGTGATAAACGATAATATTGTTTGAAATTGAACAATTATTGTCAAATTTTAGAAGAAATGTTTTGTTTTGATGTAGTACCTTTTTGACCACCAGATGGCAGTACAAGACTGTTTGAACCAAAGGACGGATAGTTAGAACAGGTGTCCCTTTAAGAAAAATGAGAGGGAGGGCCCTTGACATGACATGGGCTGACATGGAGGCCGCTCGTTTGAGCTCTTTAGCATAGCCTTTGTCACACAAAGCTTTTAATTAAAAAAAAAAATCAGTAAACAAGTTCTCAGCTTCTTTTTGCAGAGACAAAACTTTTTACACAAAGGCACGGATTTCAACCGTGAATTTTGGAGCTTCGACAAGACGGAGGCTTATTCCCGAGGTCGGCCTGTTAGCTTAGCTTCTCAGCTTAGCTGCTTTTAACAATCCAAAAATGTGATTTTGGACAGTTAAATTGATTTTAAAGAGAAAGGGAGGGGTCAGTGAAGAGCAACGGAGGTGAGCCTTTTCTTCAGTAAAAAGAGACACGAAAAAACGATAAAGCCGGTAAATAAAAATGAGGTAGATAATTTTCATTCATCGTGCGATTAATTGATTTGTTTATCGTGACAGGCCTAGCAGTAATGTCTATTAAATCATATATTAAGTATGAATTCCACTAGGCCTTCATTTATTGCAGGTGATCCATACCCTGAAGCCCCGTGATTCAAGAAGTAGGGATAGTAGTACAAGTACTTGTTTATTTTAGTATAACCCTTCCCACACTCTTGCAATATTCTAAATGTTTCTAAACTCTAAATGCTCTAAAAGAGCACAAAATGTCATGATTTCAGCTCTGTGCCTCCGGCTGCACTCTGCCACCAGCAAGTGTCTCGGCCATGCCCACTTCTCCACTCTGCACAGAGAACAGCTGATCAGCTGCAGGAGGAAGTTCTCCTGCAGTATGGGCTGCACAGAGGTGCAGGAGGAAGGTTTTACTGCAGCTGTGGGCTGCACAAAAATGCAGCAGGTGCTAAATAATTAAAAACAACTTATTATAAATAAAAATTCAATGCCGATTGTGCAGCTCATCCATCAATCAGCCAATTGTGTCATGCCCAATCTTATTTTGAAAAAACGCGATAGAGCGGGTCCGGGATAAATGAACCACGAAGTAGCGAGTGACTACTGCACATACACAACAGGATACTCAATTTGTGTCAGACATAAAAAGGTGGTTGTAAATCATACAACATTGACCAAAACATAATTTTCTTATTTTTTTTTTTAGATTTCTCCCCTTCTTTTCAGACAAAACAAAGACATGACCAAAAAGTTAAAGAAATAAAAATGCTGGAATACAAGTCAGAGGAGGCAAGAACAGCCAAATAAATGGTATCTAACGAGGCAAAATTCTGATTGTAAGGATAGCGTACTTTGAAGTACAGTATGCTGACATGACCATTTTCCTCCTAATAGTTGACCTTAAATGAAAGGGGCAAGCACAGAAAATATTTTCCAAAACATATTCGCATACAAGAAAATTATGTATTTTTCAGTTGTGTGCATGCCATAACATTACAGTAAAATGAATTTTGTACATTCTTTAGAGAGCGTTACATCAGAGAAACCAAATGGACAGATGTGAATCTTAAATATCTGACAGCTCATGAATATTTTTTTTAGCATCAATAAACAGAATCTGGTAGCAGGGCTACACATACAAGAAGCTGCTCTAAATAAGTAAGCTGGCCATGAAAGTATTGACATCTGGCTCAAAAAATGCTTCATTTTTATGCCATAAGAAATCTGTAACTAGACTTGAACATGATGTTGCAATTGACAGAAAACTGTGTTACATTATAAAATAAGATTTGCTGCGTGTTGCCTCACACTAATTAGACAATTATACTTGTCTTTTTATTGCATTAATAAAAACAAGTTAGGAATACATCAATCTGTTACTTGAGCTGTGCTGTTTTTTGTTCATGTAAGGGGTCGTCTGCTGTCTGATGCTGTCCATCACTTTTATCAACATCCAGTTCTTTTCCTGTAGTCTTGTTATCAACAACCACAGTCTGTATATCTGGTAGTAAAGGATCAGTTGCAGAGTTAGATTTGTTTTCTAAATCTGAAGCCAAATGAGCCTGAGATACAGCTGCTTCGAGCACAGATGAAGTGGAGATGCCCGAGACTGATGTTAACAAAGTATCAGAGACAGGAACTGAGAGAGTGGGTAGAGACAGAGACGTGGAACATGCTTCAGAGGACAGAGAGACAGGCTGAGTCACTGATACTGGTAAAGAGAAGGGCACAGGGATGGCTGAACCGTCTAAGGAAATGACGCTCATTCCTGTGTTGTTAGTGCCTATTATGGGCTGGAACTGCGTCCCTGCTGGAACTTCTGTGTGGATGACGGTGATATCACCAAGAGCACCATGGCTGACCAGAGCAATGGCTCCATGACTGGTCCAGTCGGATGGGAGAGTGACCGACTCAGTTGGAACCACAGTTGTTTCAGTTTGGGTAGTACCAGCACCATGAGCAGAACTGGTAGCAGGAGTAGAAACAGCAGGAGCAGAAACAGCAGGAGCAGTGCTAGCACTACTTGGACTTTCACTAATTTTCTTTCCTGGTTCTGCATTTTCCTCAGTGGAAGACCTTGGCTTCTTTTCCTCAATATTTCCCTCCACCATCACCAGGTAGGTCTTCCATGGAGCTTCTACATCATGAACCTTAAATTTAAACAAGATGGTGTCATTTTAACAACAGTATGAGGGATTGTTGTGCAATTAGCTGATAATAAACATGCACAAGTATTCACTATGTCAAAGCAGTAATGGCATAAATATTGTTCCCTTCTTTTAAAGGGGTACTACTTCTACCTAAGTCAAACTCCATCCATCCATCCATCCATCCATACATACATACATACATACATACACACATACTCCCACCTAGGGACAATTTAAAGTTACCAATTAGCCTAACATGCATGTTTTTGGTCTGTGGGAGAAAACCCGAGTATCTGGGGAAAACCCACGCATGCACGGAGAGAACATACAAACTCCGCCCAGAAAGGCTCCCGGACAGGATTTGAACTTAGGTGACCTGCTCGCTGAGAGGTGGCAGCTCTACCAACTATGCCATCGTGCTGCCTAGAGTACAAAACATCGTTCAATGTTACAGTACTAAAGGAAGAAGCAGCAACTCACCAAAGTGTGCCTGCGAAAGGTGGACTGGTCAGTAAAAGCTCGTTTACAGAGCACACACATGAAAGGTTTTTCTCCCGTGTGGATCCGTTGGTGCCGCTGGAGCGCATTGATCTGAGTGAACTGTTTACCACATACTGTACATTTGTACGGACGCTCACCTACAGAACACATTCATTTTATTGTTACCAGGAGGAAGTCAATAACTTAAGAGTAGATTTAGAACAAATATAAGTAAATGTCTTACCTGTATGTATTTTTAAATGCTGGCTGAGGGAGTTCCTCTGAGCAAAGCTTCTTTCACAAGTGTCACACTTAAAAGGCTTAGAGCCAGTGTGGATGTTTAAGTGGTGTTTAAGGTATTCTTTAGATCCAAAACTTTTCCCACAGGCATCACACATGTAGGGCTTTAATCCTAAAAGGAAAGAAAAAGAAAATTAACAATACTTCTTAGTAGATAGCGACCTTCTAATGTTTCAGTATTTACAGGTGCTGGTCATAAAATTAGAATATCAAGAAAAAGTGTATTTATTTCAATAATTCAATAAAAAAGCTAAACTTGTGTATTATATTCATTCATTACACACACACTGATATATTTCAAATGTTTATTTCTTTTAATGTTGATGATTATAACTGACAACTAATGAAAACCCCAAATTCAGTATCTCAGAAATTTAGAATTTTGTGAAAAAGTTCAATATTGACGACACCTGGTGCCACACTCTAATCAGCTAATTAACTCAGAACACTTGCAAAGGCCTTTAAATGGTCTCTCAGTCTAGTTGTGTAGGCTACACAATCATGGAGAAGACTGCTGACTTGACAGTTGTCCAAAAGATGACTATTGACACAAAAGGTCGTTGCTAAAGAGGCTGGCTGTTCACAGAGCTCTGTGTCCAAACACATTAATAGAGAGGTGAAGGAGAAGAAAAAATGTGGTAGAACTAAACGTAAAAGCAACAGGGATAACCACACCCTGGAGAAGATTGTGAAACAAAACCCATTCCAAAATGTTGGGAAGATTCACAAAGAATGAACTGCAGCTGAAGTCAGTGCTTCAAGAACCACCATGCACAGAGGTATGCAAGACATGGGTTTCAGCTGTTGCATTCCTTGTTTCAAGCCACTCTTGAACAAGAGACAGCATCAGAAGCATCTCGCCGGGGCTAAAGACAAAAAGGACTGGACTGCTGCTGAGTGGTCCAAAGTTATGTTCCCTGATGAAAGTAAATTTTTCATTTCCTTTGGAAATCAAGGTCCCAGAGTCTGGAGGAAGAGAGGAGAGGCACAGAATCCATGTTGGGGGGGAAGACAGACATACATCTGAGCCGTGCGCTGTGTGTACCGACAGTTTTCGAGTGGCGGGGGTGTGTTCAGCGTGAGGGTTCAGCATGAAGGAAGAGGCTGCCTTTAGCTTTTTAGCAAGTGCACCTGCATTGCGAGCCGCTAGTTTAGTGTTATGTCAGTGCAAACACAAACAGGTGGTTGGGGGTGGGGTTCGGTAGATGGGACGCTCGGTTCTGTTGACGGGGAGGGGCGCCCCGCTTGTACAATGGTAGGGGAAACACTGATATAGACCCTTTCCAAAATATGGAATATCATGGAATAGCTGTTTAACTTCCATAATTCCGATCAAAAAGTTAATCTTTAATAGATGATAGATTCAGGGCCCATAATTTAAATGGTTTCAAGTATTTATTTGTGCATTTTTACATAATTTGGGCTTCCAGCTCATGAAACCCACCAAAACAGGATTTTAAAAGATTAGAATACTGTGAAGACATCAGAATCAGAATAAGCTTTATTACAATTGCACCGAGATACAACGAGAACATGTACATGCAGTCGTCCGGAAGATGGACGGAGTGCACAAAGCTGCTGCTCTAAGCGTGGCCTCTCTTATCCTTATCAGAATAATAACCTTAGATAGGAAAAGGGGGAGAAACATGAGGGTAGATAGTGGTATTACGAAAAAAGATCTTTCACATCTTGTCTATCAGGACACGATTTGAGACATCAAAAAAAACCTCTACCAGCAAGCACATTTAAAAACATGATTACATTTGCATTTGACATTGAGGTGTTGAGATTAGTCTATGAGCGCTTTTCAGATCAGCCACAGTTTCTGAAGATGTTGTTTCAGCCAGCAGTTCTGATAAGCTTGCACAGAAAGTTCTCTGGGGGGGTGCAATAGATGAAGATTTTGTCCTTGGTTACCCATGACCCAGGAAAAACTTGATACTCGGCCCATTCCGAGGTCGTTGGGAGTCAGATTCAGAAGCTTTGATTGTTGTTTTTCTTCAGGCAGACATATTCCTTTTTTCTTCAGCCTTGAGTCCATTCTGGACGTTCTCATTTCAAAATTCTCATGTATGTTTTTAAATCACTGAACAGTTCCGCCCCATCCTATCTCACTGATCTTCTGCAGCCATATGTCCCACCGCGCTCTCTGAGGTCAGCAGACCAGATGCTTCTCTCAGTCCCAGAAACCCGTCGTAAGCTCAGAGGTGACAGGGCTTTCTCTGTTGCAGGTCCACGACTGTGGAATGAGTTGCCACTGAGTGTCCGGCAGGCTCCCACACTCTCAGTCTTTAAGTCTCGCTTGAAGACCCACTTCTATTCGCTTGCCTTTAACATGGTGTGATTTGTTTTGGTCTGGTCTGTTCTCTACTCTGTTGGCCATTTTAGTTAGCTTCTGCTGCTATTTGTATCTGTATTTCTATTTTATGTTTTCCTGTCCGCTGTGCATGTTTGTGTTCTTTTGTACAGCACTTTGGTTGGCCTTGTTGCTGTTTTAAGTGCTATATAAATAAATTGGTATGGTATGGTATGGTATGGTTCTGGTTCTGAAATAGCCTAATTGTGGGATTCCATTCCACTGATCCATGCTATGAGTCTCCCTCAAGGTCGAACCCACCACGCTGATGAGTCCCAGAAGCCGCAGGTGGCCTGCGATTCTCATAAATCGCCTCCACCTAACGGTTTAGCTCGTAAACCAGTTAATTTAGAGTTCCTATAGCACGGACCAAACCTTGACACTGACTCGGAAGCTTTGCCATGGCCGAAACTGCTGCCGATGTCTTCTTCAAAAGTCTATAAAGCAGAGCCCCGTCAATGCCAAAAAGCAGAGACCCTGCTATCATATTTCCAAATCAGCCCACACTACTCAGTTTTTGCAGAAAAAAGAAAGAAATAAGGATCACAACAAATCAGCTTCCAGCTCATGAAACCCACGAAAACAGGATTTCAAAAGATTGGAATACTGTGAAGACATAAGCCCACATTACTTCTCAGTTGTTGCAGAAAAAAAAAAAAGAAATTAGGATCACAACAAATCAGTTACAATATGGTAATTTCAAAACCATGTCAATCTTCAATACTTGGTTGGGAATCCCTTTGCCTTAATCAATGCCTCAATGCGACGTGGCATTGAGGCAATCAGCCTGTGGCATTGACTGGAAGTTATGGAAGCCCAGATTTCCTTGCTGCTTGCTGTCAGCTCTTCTTTGTTATTGGGTCTGGTGCCCTTCATTTTCCTCTTGAGAATACTCCATAGATTCTCAATGGGGTATAGGTTTGGCGAGTTGGCTGTCCAGTCAAGCACTGTGGCATGGGCATCAAACCAGGTTTTGGTGTTTCTGGCAGCATAGGCAGGGGCCAGGTCCTGCTGGAAAATGAAATCTGCATTGCCATACAGATCCTCAGAAGAAGGAATCATGAAGTCCTCTAAAACATTCTGGTAGACTGTTGCGGTGACCTTGGATTTAAGACAGCAGAGTTTACCAACACCTGCACATTGCACCCCAAATCATGACTGACTGTGGATATTTCATAATGGACCTCAAGCAGTATGGGTTCTGTTCCTCACCCTTCTTCCTCCAAACCCTTGGACCTTGATTTCCGAATGAAATGCACACTTTACTTTCATCAGAAAAGAGGACCTTTTTTAACAAATAAAAAACTGAAAAGTGGGGCATGCAATATTATTGGGCCCCCTTGCATTAATACTTTGTAGCGCCGCCTTTTGCTGCAGTTCCAGCTGCAAGTCTCTTGGGGTATGTCTCTATCAGTTTTGCACATGGAGACACTGAAATTCTTGCCCATTCTTCCTGCAAAACAGCTCGAGCTCAGTGAGGTTGGATGGAGAGAGTTTGTGAACAGCAGTCTTCAGCTCTTTCCACAGATTCTCAATTGGATTCAGGTCTGGACTTGGCCATTCCAACACCTGGATACGTTTATTTGTGAACCATTCCATTGTAGATTTGGCTTGATGTTTTGGATCATTGTCTTGTTGGAAGATAAATCTCCATCCCAGTCTCAGGTCTCTTGCAGACTCAAACAGGTTTTCTTCCAGAATGGTCCTGTATTTGGCCCCATCAATCTTCTCATCAATTCTGACCATCTTCCCTGTCCCTGCTGATGAAAAGCAGGCCCAAACCATGATGCTGACAACACCATGTTTGACAGTGGGGATGGTGTGTTCAGGGTGATGAGCTGTGTTGCTTTTACGCCAAGCATATCGTTTTGCATTGTGGCCAAACAGTTGGATTTTGGTTTCATGTGACCAGAGCACCTTCTTCCACATGTTTGATGTGTCTCCCAGGTGGCTTGTGGCAAACTTTAAATGACACTTTTTATGGATATCTTTAAGAAATGGCTTTCTTCTTGCCACTCTTCCATAAAGGCCAGATTTGTGCAGTGTACGACTGATTGTTGTCCTATGGACAGCCTCTCCCACCTCAGCTGTAACTCTCTGCAGTTCATCCAGAGTGATCATGGGCCTCTTGGCTGCATCTCTGATCAGTCTTCTCCTTGTTTGAGATGAAAGTTTAGAGGGACGGCCGGGTCTTGGTAATTTGCAGTGGTCTGATCCTCCTTCCAATTCAATATGACTGCTTGCACAGTGCTCCTTGGGATGTTTAAAGCTTGGGAAATCTTTTTGTATCCAAATCCGGCTTTAAACTTCTCCACAACAGTATCTCGGACCTGCCTGGTGTGTTCCTTGGTCTTCATGATGCTCTCTGCGCTTTGAACAGAACCCTGAGACTATCACAGAGCAGGTGCATTTATACAGAGACTTGATTACACACAGGTGGATTCTATTTACCATACCATACCTTACCACTTTATTTATAAAGCACTTAAAACAGCTACAGAGCCAACCAAAGTGCTGTACAGACAAAACAACAGGTAACAAAGCAAAATACAAAATGAGGTAAATAAGAATATAGACAAAAAACGATGCAGATAATGACGACAAACCAGTGTAGAGCATACAGGATCAAAACACAGATCATCTGGTGTTGAAAGCTATTGAATAGAAGTGAGTTTTTAAACGGGACTTGAAAACCGAGAGGGAGGGGGCCTGTCTGACAAGCAGAGGTAACTCGTTCCAGAGTCTTGGTCCTGCTACAGAGAAGGCCCTGTCACCTCTGCGCTTAAGACGACTTCCTGGAACTGTGAGGAGGAACTGGTCCGCTGACCTCAGGGAGCGTGGTGGGACATACGGTTGTAGCAAATCAGAGAGATGGGGGAGCGGGCGACACTGTTCAGTGATTTGTAGACATACATGAGTATTTGGAACTGGATTCGAAAGTGAACCGGTAACCAGTGCAGTGAGGCCAAAACTGGTGTAATGTGCTCTCTTTTGCCTGTACTGGTTAAAAATCGGGCTGCTGCATTCTGGACCAGTTGTAGTCGTGCAATGGAGGTCTGACTGATACCAAACAGGAGCGAATTGCAGTAATCAAGCCTAGATGTAATGAATGCATGTATTACTGTCTCCAGGTTCGTTTTGGACAATATGTGCTTCAGTTTAGACAGCCGCCTCAGTTGGAAGAAGCATGATTTAACAATCATGTTTACATGATTGTTAAGTTTCAGGTAAGTGTCCATTATCACGCCCAGATTAGCGACTCTTTGTTTTTCTGACAGGGTTACAGCGGAAAGGTCGATGCAGTGGTTTGTGATCGTGTCGTTGGGAGGGAACAACATGACTTCAGACTTCTTTTCATTGAAACTTAAGAAATTTAAAGCCATCCAGCCCCTGATGTCAGCCAGGCAGTTGAGCAGAGGTTGAATAGAGCATGTACCATTGTGTCTTAGGAGGAAGTAAATTTAACAGTCATCGGCATAGAAGTGGAAGGGCATGTTGTGTTTCCGGAAAATAGCACCAAGCGGCAGCAGGTATAAAGAGAATAGGAGGGGACCCAGTGTGGACTCCTGCGGAACCCCCCATTTAAGCTCTGCCTCTGCGGAACTAAAATCCTTGATGGAGACACAAAAGGATCTGTCAGAGAGGTAAGATCTAAACCAATTGAGGGCTGATCCTGTGATGCCCACCCACTGCTCCAACCTAGCAATGAGGATCTCATGGTCGATGGTGTCAAAGGCGGCCGTGAGGTCCAACAGGACAAGCAGCACAGAATCACCGGTATCTGTGAATCTGAAGATGTCGTTAAAGACCATCAGCAGGGCAGTTTCAGTGCTGTGGAGAGGTTTAAAGCCAGATTGGAAAAGCTCTAAGATGGCGTGATCCTCCAGGAAGCACTTCAACTGGGACTCGACTATTTTCTCCAGTACTTTAGAAACAAATGGGAGTTTGGAGACAGGCCGGAAGTTGGATACAAGTGAGGGGTCAAGGTTTGGTTTTTTCAGGAGAGGCTGGACGGCAGCATGTTTAAAGGTTTTTGGCACCACGCCAGTGGATAAACTACTGTTTACTATGGCAAGAATGGACGGACCTAGAGTTGGAAACACCTCCTTTAGTAGTCGAAGGGGGACCACATCAAAGGGGGAACCAGAAGGTTTCAAGCTGCACATGACCTGCTCTAGAGAAGATAGAGTGATGGGTTCAAAATGGTCAAAAGGAGCTACAGATTGAGGTGGGATGGATGGGTCATGAGTTGGAGGGGAAATGAGAGCCCCAGTGGTCGCAATTTTTTCCACAAAGAAATGTAGGAAGTTGTTGCACAGCTCAGTCGAGGCTTCCAGAGGTGATGGTTCAGTGAGGTGGAGAACAGAGTTTAGGGTGGAGAAGAGGACACGTGGGTTGTGAGAGTTTGAGGTAATTATATCAGAGAATAATTTTGATTTTGCAGCTTTTAATGTTTTCTGTTAACAGCGCCAACTCTAAGTATTTGGAAAGAGACCTGCAGCCTGTCTTTCCTCCACTTTCGCTCCGCCCTCCTACATTGCTGCCTAACGGCCTTGGTGACGTAACTCAGCCAAGGTTCTGCTCTGAGTTTTGATTTTTTGGTTTTAACAGGTGCGACATGATCCAGAGTCTTTAAGCAGACAGAGTTGAACTTGGATGTCAGCTCCTCAGTGGAGCTCCTCAGCTCCTATTTATCATCATCAGTCATTTGGGACAACATTGGATCATTCATAGATCCTCACTGAACTTCTGGAGTGAGTTTGCTGCACTGAAAGTAAAGAGGCCGAATAATATTGCACGTCCCACTTTTCAGTTTTTTATTTGTTAAAAAAGTTTGACACATCCAATAAATTTCATTCCACTTCACGATTGTGTCCCACTTGTTGTTGATTCTTCACAAAAAAATAACAATTTTATATCTTTATGTTTGAAGCCTGAAATGTGGAAAAGTTCAAGGGGGCCGAATACTTTCACAAGGCACTGTATATATATATA